TGTAGTACTGTAGTACTGAATGTAGTACTGTAGTACTGAATGTACTGCCATTTGTGCACCAGCATCCAGAGACTGTACACCGCTGTACCCTCCGTGCGTGTGAACGTGGAGCCGATCATCTGGTCGACCATGGACGAGCTGCTGACCGTCGCTCCAGTCGGTCAGTCTACAGTGTCTGTGACGTTGTACTGTCCCTGTGTTGTGTGTGTGTGAGGTTGAACGATGACTCATCAAGTCTGTGTTTGTCATCCAACAGGGTGCGTACCGAGGAACTTCACGGTGAGACTTCAGAGAATTTCCTCCGTTGATTTCATTTGTTTAAATCTGCGCTTCATTTATTTTGAAGTCTTTTTTGTTTACAGTGTCCAGAAATCCACTTCAACGGTAGGATTGACAGATATTTAAGACTGAATTATTCTGTTGATGTTTCCCCGTGTCTGATCTGATGCTTCGTTGTTTGTTTTTTTTATCAGCCACTGATATCTGCAGAGGGATTAACAGGTAAAAACGATTAAAACTAGCGTTGTTTTATTGTTGTGATATTATCGGCTAATGAAGTGTGCCCTAAAAATAGTTTTGGGGGAAAACTGGCTGTGTATGAAAGTGAAAGCCACTAGTTGGCAGCATTGCGGCTCATTTTATTAATTTGGTGATAGTAGGCAGAATGTTGGTGCCAGAAACTCACGGTGGTTTAAAATAAATAAATAAATATTACCAGGCACTCAACAGTATTTCAATTCCCCTGTAGGGGGCGCATTGGAGAAAATAATTGTGAAACTGCTTTAACTTAACCTCCTTCACCACCAGGCCACCACCGCCCCTCTATAAAGATCGATATCATAATCGGACGTCTCTTATTAAAACCATTCATATTAACGTGTGTTTCTCCTGTAATTCCAGCTCTGACCTGCAGGCTCAGTTGACACCATGGTCTGCTGATGTTCCATGTAATTTCACCTTGGAGGTGTATGCATGTGCAGAGGTGAGTCAGCGTCTCACCCAGCAGGGGGGGAGGAGAGGGGAGGAGAGGGGAGCTCTGTTTGTCTCAATCTCTAAGTTGGTCTTTCACACACACACAGCTGGAGAACTTCACAGCCAATCACCTGGCTTCTCTGCTACAATGTGACCTGCCCGGAGAGAGCAGTGATTCCAAAGTGCTGTGGAAGATGCTGCTCAGTAAACTGTCCCACGTGTTGGACCCAGCGCTGGACGTTCTGGCCGAGATGGTGAGTCGATGTCACTGCACAGAAGAACGTCCTCAAACTCAGTCACTGTTCAAATGAAATGTTGAGAATTTTAATGTAAAAAAAAAAAAAAAGTTCCATTTCAAAAACATGTTTCAATGGAAGAAAGGACTTTGAATGAGTTTTTTTATATTTCATTTGTGTGACATAACTGCCTCATTCCACAGCCTACGACCACAGTGGTCCCATCAGCGACCGTGGTTCTGGACGTGATCGCACAGATGAGACTGTCGATGTTGACGGATGAGCAGCTGATGAACAGCACCGCCATCGGTACCTGGTTCTCTGGACGTCTGAGCTTGTTCCTGCCGTCCGCGTCAGCCAGTTTTCTGGGCTGTTTGACTGACAGAAACTTCAGCTGTCAGTCGTACCAGCAGGTGTAAGTGACCAGAATTCATCTGCGATATGACAGAGAACTGAATTTCACCTCGACAGAAAGTTCTAGAATATTCTCTCACTTCCACAGAAAGTTCTAGAATATTCTCTCACTCTGGGTTTTTTTTCATCGTTGTATCCAGGCTGCAGATGTTCGTCCACAACTTTGAGCGAATGAGTCTGAAACAGAGGCGCGTGATGTTGAAGAACTTCCTGCTCCCCTTCCTGTCCAAACCTCAGTCAGGTCTGAGCTGGACCGACCAATCACAGAGCTGCTTTCACATCCGTTTCATCATTCAGTCAAAATATCTTCTGTTCATTTCATCAAACTCCAGGTCCAGGCTGCGTGAACGGATCCAATTCCAGTACAGAGTGGTTGATGAAGAACCTCGGCCCGTTCTCCACCATGTTGTCCCTGGGACAACTGCTGGGCCTCAACCCACACTTTGATCCTGTAAGAATCCAATAAAAAATAAAACCAAGTTCTATTTCATCTGTGGTTCTCACGTTATTCTCTTCTTCCTCAGATGGAGGCTCTGGCGCTCCTGACTCCGGCTCAGTGTGCTGAGATCCTGGCTCTTCCCGACCTTCCGGACCAGGAGTACGTCATCAATAAACTGTTTGATCACATGGCCCAGCCTCCACAGCACCACAAAATCCCAGAGTTCTTGTTCTACCTCCTGATGTTCCTCCCACAGGTGAGTGCTGACGTTGATTTAGCTCAGAATTATGGCGTGTTCAAAGTCCGACCGTGTGGTTTCCGTCTCCCCAGGTCGACCTTTCCTGCTCGTCGTTCAAAACTCTGTGAGTCCAGGTTTGATGACAGAATGAAAAGGTGTTCGTGACGTGTCGTGATCTTGACGTTGGTTCCGCTCGGTTTCTTTCTTCAGGTTTAACAGACTGGACCTGGCCACGGCAGACGTTCCACTGACTGTGGCTCTGAATATCTCCAACAGTAAAATCTTCATATTTGACCATGTTCCACCTGGTAGGTTACTGATACGACTAGAATTTAGATTTAGATATGATCATGATTAAATGTATTAATGTATAACAGATTCTTTGTTAATTTTTCTTTAAAGTTTTTTTAAATTAACCTGTTTTATTTTAAATATATTTTTGTTACAGGTTGTAGCATCTATGGTGGTAATGTAAGTACACATTCATTTAAAGTATTACTATAATTATATTTTTAATTTATTTTTTCACATCCTCTCATGTACGACACGTTTCACTCTTGTCTCCACAGTGCAGCATCACCTTGGTCAATGGTAGGTTTATTTATTCCTGTATAAAAGAATAGGTTTTTATTTTAATTTTTAATTTAATTTTTAATTTTACCCTAATTTTTTCGTTTGTTTTTTTGCAGAAACTGAAATATGTGATGGAGTAAACAGGTAAGAGTTTCTCTCGTCTCCTGCGAAACACTGAATTTACGATGAAAATCTAAGACCTTATTTTTGATTTTTAGATCTTTTTTTGTCCTCAGTGTGGCGCTGTCGTACTAATGTAAAAACGGGAAAAAAGTAATTTTATTTGTCTTTTTATATTTGAAACCACAGCACGGCGCTGCAGCTGAGCCTCACCACAGGGGGCAGTGGTGGACACCTGTGTGCCTTCCCCACAGAAGAGTTGGCCTGTGCCTCTGTGAGACAGCAGAGATGCCTGATCAACAAAGTGTCAACTTTTTAGTGGCTGTATCGATGTATCTGATGGCTCGTTCATCCCACAGGCGTCGGCGCTAACGGCGCTAACAGCCCAGCATCTGGCTGAGGTGATGATGTGCAACAGGTCGTCCAACTCCAGTGAATCCAGACCAGTTTGGAAGCTTCTCCTCTCCAAGGCCTCACCGGTGCTCAATGAAGCTCTGGATCTAATGGTCAACATGGTAAAAAAAAAAAAAGAGTCAAAGCGACTGTTCTTGTTGAACCGATTTACACGTCAAACACAAACAATTTCTTCTCAGACTCATCCCACAAATCCTGTTTCGTCATTGATTCTGGACACAATACGAGAACTACGATTGGACACCGTCAACTACACCAAACTGAACGACCCCGCCTTCATCCAGCTGTGGTTCAACGGACGACTCCGTCCGTTCTTGCCCGCCGCGTCCCCGGACTTCCTGTCCTGTCTCACCACCAGGGACCTGAACTGCAGCAGCTACCAGCACATGTGAGCAACGCGCTAACGCTAACTCCCTGAAAACTCAGTCACCAAGCTAACACCGAGGTGTATTCTCTTATTACCCAGGGTCCAGGCCATGGGTCACGTCCAGCCGTACATGACCCTCGGCACACAGATGCTGGTCTACACACACTTCATCAGGGTCTACCTGATGAAGAACACCACTGAAGGTAGGACGTCCTACGGACCATGAAGTCAAACATCAGAGAGAAAAAAAAGTCAAAGTGATTTTAGAGTCAAGAACCGGCCTCAAACCCCGGTCAGGAAAAACATGGCCGCCAACAGACAAACATGGTCTATTTTGTGAGGGTTTTCAAAGGACACGGCTAATTCGCAAACGAATCTTCAAGATTTTCCAAAAGTTCAGAAAAGTACCGCTGTTCCAGCACCAAAAGTTCTGAATCTGTGTTTGTTGTGTGTTCCGGCCTCAGACCCGGGCTGCAGCCTGTTTGTGCTGAACTCTGGTGATTGGCTGCAGATGAACATCGGACGTTTCTCCAAACTCGTCTCCTTAGAAGATCTCTTCAAACTCAACCCATCGTTCTCGCCGGTACTTTCCTGCCGCACCGATTCTCTGCAGTCTAAATGACGGGTGCCTGCACTTTTGTTTTAACATTTGGTGTCGTCTGTGTCGTCTGTGTCGTCTGTGTCGGTGTAGCTGGACGCTCTGCCCCTGATGACGGTCAAACAGCTGGCGGAGGTTTCGGCCACTCCTGGACAGCTACAGACAGCTGAACAGGTGGACATGGTGATGCAGCACGTCCCTGACCAACAACTCCCGGAGTTTTTTGACGACTTTTCACCCGCAATTCTGGTGAGTGTCAACACTTGAGTTCACACAGTCAGAACGACCATCATCTTCTGTCAATCATTTCTTTCCCTCCACTTCCTGCAGGGTCACGAGGAGGAGATTCCTCCTCCGCCGAGGGCGGCCATGCTGCAGGTCGTGTTTGACCGAGCAAACCTCTCCGATCATTCTGTCAGCGATACGGTCGTGTTGCTTTGGCTCCACAGCCGACTGCGCCCCCTGCTGGTGGGTCTCTCACCACTACACGTGGCACCGTTCTTCAAAATACTGTCAGGAAGGAACTGCAGCACGGAGCAGCAGGGGTGAGGTTTTAATTTCAGTTCTTTAATTCCTTGGAGAACTTAATGAAATCAAATACAAGAAAACTTAATGAGTGACAACGAGTGACGTGACGTCCGGATTCTCACTCTCAGTTTTTCAGAGAGTTCAAAACAAAACTTTGAATCTTTTCCTGTTTTTCTTCCAGAGTGCAGGAGTTACAGTCGACAATATCGTCCCTGAGTGAAGGGACAGTGGACGGAATCCACGAGCACATCATCCTGCTGCTCACAGGTAGAAACACTGAACAAAAACATATTTAGAATAATGTGATTAATTACAATCACTTCACTTCTGGAACTCGTTTTGTCAACACAGTTCCGGTTCCTCTGCGTTGCTACGGTGACAACTACAACGTCAGTGTCTACGACTTCATGGAGCAGCAGTTCATGGGATTCCAGTTCCCCAACCTGACCACCTTCCTGGGACTCATGCCTCAGGACAAAAGGCCTCAGGTTTGTGTCATGACACGTGTGTGTGAAGAGACTTGAAGAACGTGAAGGAGAACCTGAAGGAGAACCTTGATGTTCTCTTACAGCTGCTGAGCTCCATGCCTCCATCAGACCTGGAGAAACTTCTGCTCCGTCCTGGAGTCACTGACAACCAGGCCGAGCTGTGTGTCCTCTACCAGGACTACAGACACACACCCAGGTTCCTGGAGACTGTACGTACACACACACACACACACACACACACACACACACACACACTAACCTTGACGTCTGTCCCAGGTGTCTCTTCCTGCCGAGGTCAGACGACCCACGCTGCCTTGCGTCTGGCCCATGGCTCTGCAGAGCTCTGAGAGAGCTGAGGTCAACGCGTGGTTCACACAGCGGCTCCCGGACTACGTGGGGTACCTCAACAAAGACCTGATCGGCCCCAGCGTCACCTACAACTCCAGCTGTCTGGCCTTCCAGCAGATGTACGTACGCCGTTAGGATCAAGTCAAAGAAAAACAAACAAACACAGAAAAACATTTAAAGTAGTTCAGTTACTGTTGGTTCTGGGCTGGAGTCAGGAACTACCACCAGACTCTGGATTATTAGGTCATATCTTTGACAGTTTTATTTTTAATGAACCTCTTAATTGAATTTTTAATCCATCATTGTGACCGTCCACGATGTTTGCTGCAGTGTTTTACTTCTCGGTCCGTACAACTACACCACTGTGGACTTTGAAAGAGGAGACGTGTACGACAGCATCAGGACGTATCTGACCTCAGGTCAGTCTGCACCACTGCAGCTCCACATCACCAAAAAAACAAAACAAACACCATTCAGTGTTAATGAAATAAATCAATAAAACGACTTTAACCCTTTTTTCTGGCTGCAGCGACCGCGCCCAGGTGTTACGACGACACCAACCCCGACCTGAACTCTACGGCCTGGTTCTCTCAGTACATGGGCCCCTTCATTATCTTCCTGACGCTGGACGATCTTCTGTCTTTTGGTTCACCACAGGTACCGCGGTCATGTGACGTTGGTAAAAAGGTCGAGGCGATGAGTTCAAATCCCTCCGCCTTCTTCCTGTCTGCAGGTGCTGCAGGTGTTTACGGTAAACCCCCTGAACATCGCCCTGCTCAAACAATACCAACTGCCCCTGAACGTCACCAACTACTACACCGAGCTGGTTTATCTGCAGGACAGCAACTTCGATCCCTCACTGTGAGTTGAAAACCTGCGCCACATTTTAGCCTTCGTTAAAACGACAAACTCACAGCAGAGCGAACTGTCAGCAGAGGGCGACAGTGGACAGAGTGGAGTCCACGTTGGCTGCGTCTTAACATGCTCAAAATATCAGTACATGAGCCATGCAACATGAACCTCCTCCATAGGAGACATCACTGCATCATTTTATGTACTTGTTGTAAAGCAGTAACAGCAGCAGCAGCAGCAGTAACAGCAGTAACAGCAGTAACAGCAGCAAGGTGTCTCTTCCTGCCGAGGTCAGACGACCCACGCTGCCTTGCGTCTGGCCCATGGCTCTGCAGAGCTCTGAGAGAGCTGAGGTCAACGCGTGGTTCACACAGCGGCTCCCGGACTACGTGGGGTACCTCAACAAAGACCTGATCGGCCCCAGCGTCACCTACAACTCCAGCTGTCTGGCCTTCCAGCAGATGTACGTACGTTAGGATCAAGTCAAAGAAAAACAAACAAACACAGAAAAACATTTAAAGTAGTTCAGTTACTGTTGGTTCTGGGCTGGAGTCAGGAACTACCACCAGACTCTGGATTATTAGGTCATATCTTTGACAGTTTTATTTTTAATGAACCTCTTAATTGAATTTTTAATCCATCATTGTGACCGTCCACGATGTTTGCTGCAGTGTTTTACTTCTCGGTCCGTACAACTACACCACTGTGGACTTTGAAAGAGGAGACGTGTACGACAGCATCAGGACGTATCTGACCTCAGGTCAGTCTGCACCACTGCAGCTCCACATCACCAAAAAAACAAAACAAACACCATTCAGTGTTAATGAAATAAATCAATAAAACGACTTTAACCCTTTTTTCTGGCTGCAGCGACCGCGCCCAGGTGTTACGACGACACCAACCCCGACCTGAACTCTACGGCCTGGTTCTCTCAGTACATGGGCCCCTTCATTATCTTCCTGACGCTGGACGATCTTCTGTCTTTTGGTTCACCACAGGTACCGCGGTCATGTGACGTTATGAACTAACCACTGGTAAAAAGGTCGAGGCGATGAGTTCAAATCCCTCCGCCTTCTTCCTGTCTGCAGGTGCTGCAGGTGTTTACGGTAAACCCCCTGAACATCGCCCTGCTCAAACAATACCAACTGCCCCTGAACGTCACCAACTACTACACCGAGCTGGTTTATCTGCAGGACAGCAACTTCGATCCCTCACTGTGAGTTGAAAACCTGCGCCACATTTTAGCCTTCGTTAAAACGACAAACTCACAGCAGAGCGAACTGTCAGCAGAGGGCGACAGTGGACAGAGTGGAGTCCACGTTGGCTGCGTCTTAACATGCTCAAAATATCAGTACATGAGCCATGCAACATGAACCTCCTCCATAGGAGACATCACTGCTATGTACTTGTTGTAAAGCAGCAGCAGCAGCAGC